CTGCACCGACCCGTGAGCTGGGCCAGGTGATCTGGACCAGGTGAGCTGGACCAGGTGAGCTGGACCAGGTGATCTGGACCAGGTGATCTGGACCAGGTGAGCTGGACCAGGTGAGGTGGACCAGGTGATCTGGACCAGGTGATCTGGACCAGGTGAGGTGGACCAGGTGATCTGGACCAGGTGATGTGGACCAGGTGATCTGGACCAGGTGATCTGGACCAGGTGAGGTGGACCAGGTGATCTGGACCAAGTGATCTGGACCAGGTGTTCCTGCATAAGGCTGAAGATCCTGTGAACTCAACTCATCCAGAGCGACAGAAAAAAGAAAATAAAAGCCAGAAAGAAAAGGCCGAGGGAGGCTGCTGACCTTGGCACTGCTGAGGGCCACCGGTCTGTCCTGGACCTGAGACAGACCCCGCCCCTTTCTGTGTCCCCGTGGCTACGAGCCAAAGGTGCGCTCACAGGGAGAGTGGCACTGCAAACACAAGTTTAAAAACACAAAGGAAGGAAGCAGCAGACAGGTGCCAGGTGTCTCTGGAGGAACTGACTCGTGCTGCAGGACATCACAGCCTAAAGTGCATCATAACCCCCCCACCCCCCCAAGTGCTCTGTGTGGAGGTGTGTCTGTACAACTGCACCATGTGTGAGTTCCTCCAGAGCAGCTAACACTAGCTCCTTCAGTTTACGTCTGTGAGACAAAACAAGATGCTTTAAAACCTTTTCTTACACTGGAAACAAACTGTCATCACAATATGAAGATGTATCTGCAGCTGTGAGCAGACATCTGTTAAAACACAGCTGGACCTGTCCTCCAGGTCCTCCAGGTCCTCCAGTCCACAGCTGGTCCCTGACTGGTGGAAGGGTCTCTGCAGTAATCAGCTCCTCACTGACGAGGCGTCTCCTTGTTGCCTCGGCTGCTCTGAAAGGAAGTCGTTCATGTGTTCATGGCTGCTTCACTGCTGTAGCCACGCAGACAAAGTGTCCTGATTGGCCTGCTGTGGAGTCCCAAGTGTCCCGACCAATCAGAGGCAAAGAGCAGCCCCTTCAGCCAGCTGCTGGACCCCCGCTGACAGGTCCATGGAAGGATCCCACCGGCTGGACGAGTTAGGAGTCCACGTCTTCTAGATCGCTCTTTGAATCGCCAAGCATCATGGGAGACTCTGAGCCCTGTGAGACACAACAGGTGAGACAACAGGTGAGACACAACAGGTGAGACAACAGGTGAGACACAACAGGTGAGACACACCAGGTGAGACACAACAGGTGAGACACACCAGGTGAGACACAACAGGTGAGACAACAGGTGAGAGACAACAGGTGAGACACACCAGGTGAGACACAACAGGTGAGACACACCAAGTGAGACACACCAGGTGAGACACACCAGGTGAGACACACCAGGTGAGATTCAGGATGTGACGGGAGGATTATACATTCAAAACAACATACAGTCATATGAAAAGGTTTTTGCACTCTTGTTAATTTTCCTGATTTACTTTATAAATCATTGATTGTTTGGATTAAAGCATCAGTTAAATATATCATATGGGAGACAAACACAGTGATATTTGAGAAGTGAAATGAAGTTTATATGAT